GCATCACTGCTTTAAGTGTAGCCCTCTCTGAGCCAGTGTCATTAGGTTGTTTGGTTGGTTCTGGCACAATCTGCTATAACGGGAAACATGGCATTTGAATGTGCTAGCCCTGTTCTCATAGAATCAGAGAATCATCGAATCATAGAATAGTTTCAACTGGAAGAGACCTTGAAGATCACTGAGTCCAGCCTTTGTCCCAGCCCTATCAACCTACTAAACTATGTCCCCCAATGCCACATCTATTTGTCTCTTAAACACTTCCAGGGAATGTGACTCAACCAGCTCCCTGGGCAGCCTGTTCCAATGGCTGACAACCCTTTCAGTAAAGAAATTCTTCCTAATATCTAAGCTGAACCTCCCCTGGTGCAATTTAAATCCATTTCCCCTCGTCCTGTCGCTCTCCACTAGGGAGAACAGACCAACCCCTTCCTCACTACAACCTCCCTTCAGGTAGAGCTCCCTTGTGGTAGTTGTAGAGAACAACGAGGTCTCCCATCAATCGCCTCTTCTCTAGGCTAAACAGCCCCAGGTCCCTCAGCCTTTCCTCAAACGACTTGTGTTCTAAGCCCTTTTCCCAGCTTGGCAGCCACCTCTGTACCCTCTCCAGCACCTCGATGTCCCTCTTGTAGTGAGGGGCCCAAAACTGGACACAGCACTCAAGGTGGGGCCTCACCAAAGCTGAGCAGAGGGGCATGATCATATCCCTGCTCCTGCTCACTGATACGGGCCAGGATGCCCTTGGCCTTCTTGGCCACCTGGACACTCTGCTGGCTCATGTTCAGCCGACCATCTATTAAGAGCCCTAGGTCCCTAATACACCACCTTAAGTGGTGTAAAATAGCAAATAATGGTGTGAAATAGCAAACAGTGCTCGATTGACTAAATTATCTTTATTTCTAATCTGGTTCTGTTACTCGTAGTATAGAAAACGATAACTATTTCTGAGGCTAAGCTTGATGGTTAGGAAAGCAGGGACATTGATTTTTTGACAGCGGTCCTTCTCTTGGTCTGACTGTGTCCTGGCTGTCTGATGCCTATGTAAAGGGGACAGCTAGAAGATCCATTCCCCTGAGGGACAGGGCTGCGGTTTTGGGCAAGAGGACTATCTAGAGGGGGGTAGGGCTGAGTCTTACCTTGACACAGCATGACAGTGGCTGCCTGGGCAAGGAGGAGCAGGAGGCAGGCGCCCACCAAGGGAACCCAGAGGATGTCACAGAAGATTCTCAGCTCTTTCTCCTTGCTGGTGTCTGCAGGAAAGGAGGAGAGAAAGGTCCACCGAGTGCTCACAGCTGGTGTTATGTCCAGGTTTGGTGGAGACAACGATCCTGCCTGGAGTTCAGCAAGGAGGAGGCCGTTGTTGAAGCAGAGGGCTTCCTCTGGCCAACCAGCAAGCTCTGCAAGTGCAGTTTTATGACTGCTGCTCTCAGAATTTTCGTGGGGGATTAGAGGGAGGACACGTAGCCAAAACATTTCTCGTATCCCCTGCTGAGTCTAAAACCAGCATATGACACCACCCTCCACCTCTTCCTGGTGTGTCCAGACATGAGGCATGCTTGTGATTTTACATCATAATTCGCCGTTCCTACATGGGATGAGAAACTAGAATTTAATCCTTCCAGCTACATGTAACCAGTTATCCAACCCTGATAAAGCTCTAAGGATTTTTCCTCCTCCCCTATCCCAAAATGCCGGCAGGATTCCTATTGGTCTCAGTGGAGCAGAGCCCGGCTCTTCCCCTCTCCCTCCCTGCATCTGGGTTACCTGGATGTGAGGTCTTCAGGCAGGGGTCCTTCTTGGTGAGGCCACGCTGGGTGGTGGGTGCTGGTGTGGTAGTGACTATAAATGAAAATGAATGAACACAACATATATGGAAGTAGAGTAAAAGATCTCTCCTGCCCTTCTGCTCTCCCACCCCTGCCAGGGCGTGGCTGTTCGTGTGGCCAGGGTAGGGCTCAGGGCAGGGGGGCCTTCACAGCACTTCACAGAGCCCATTTTGGATGGTGACTCTCCCAGGGAAGGTCTCTCAAGACCCAATAAGGAGCTGTAGGTTCCTGCTCTCTGCTGCCATCCTCAGAAATCCTGAGTACCCTGATGTTGGTAGGACTTTTGGGACCTGTGTGAGTGATGACGGCAGGTCTGTTGGTGGACTTGCTTTAGTCTTATCCCTTCAGAGTCCTGAATGAGATGGAGACGTGGGTCTGGGGAGGTGATGTTGCATCTGCCTGATTGCTGTTGCCTTTGGACAGGAGTGATACCACGAGAGGAGACGGCAAGCAGAGAGCTGCTGTCAGGAGGACCCATGAGTTGGTCACAAGAGATCGTGGGCAAGCAAGGAAGAAAATACATTTTTTGTGCAAGGCAACTGAATAAAAAATGTATGGGCGGGATGTGCTGGGCATTTTGGCAGAGCTAAGTGAGATTGGGTGGAGGTGTTGCTGACCTGGACAGAAGACAGGCTGGCCATGGCTGAAGTACAGCATTTGTTTGCTGTTCACGATGCAGAAATAGTTCCCCTCGTCCTGCGATGTGAAAGACTTCACAGTCAGCTGGTAGGTCCTCCCCACTTTCCTTGCCTCGAAGCGTGCTGATGTCTGCTTATTCCCCTCAAAGATGGTCCAAGATGTGGAATAGATGTAGACAATGAAGTGATTGGTCCCAAAATTGTCCTGGTGGACCCAGAACACGCCACTGTGCTCCTTGAAAGTCACACATTCCAGCTCCAACTGCTGTCCCAGCTGGGCATGTTTTGTGCTGTTGTCACGAAACCTGGCTATCACATCGTCCCTCTGGCCATGGATCCCAGGGCAGCCTGTGGGTGAGAAATTCCGTGGGAACTGCTCGGGAAGAGCCATGTCCCATCTGGTCAAACCTCCTTCCCTGTCCATGGGATGCAAGATCAAATCCAATGGTAGGACTTGAAGGTTTTCCTGGAGTCCTTGCTGGGACTGTGCAAGAAGGGTGCTCAGCAATCAGCCAGCTGGGCTTTCTCTGCCCTTCTGAAAAGCTGTTCAGCTGCCTTCTCAGGGACATTACCAATTCCCAGCTTATCTCAGTTGACTCCCTGAAAACACTGACAACTAAAGCCCCTTTGTTCCCCTTCCTCCTCTTCTTCAGAATCTTTTCTATAACTGGGCTCCCTTCCCGGTGCGCGTGATCCTGCAGCCACCCCTGCGGCTGCCCTACGCTGGCTGAGGCGAAGCCACCTTTACCCCCAAAATTACTGAGCAAACCTCAAAGTCAGCCTTTGGGGTTTGCTTTTAATTTTCCCTTTATTTAACCCAGTTTCTTGGCTTCAGTGGGAGAGTTTTACTTGCCAAGCCCAGTGAAGGTGATGCACAATCCTGGTCCATACTCACAGAGCCCCAGAGCGAGCAGAAGGAGCAGCGCAGGAGACCCGGCCATCTTCTCCGAGGGGTGGCCGTCCTTGGAGCTGGTGCGGCGGAGCTGAGCTGATCTTTCTCGCTTGACTTGGGAGGCTGTGTCGCTCTTTGGAGAGGATGTGATGTCATCAGGACCTTCTTGGGTAAAGACACAATGTTCAGCATGAACTGACAAATGAGCTGAAAAAAAGACTTTTCCAGAAACTGAGTTCTTGTCCAGAACTTGGGCTCATTTATCGTTATCTGTTCTCAGTGGTGCCTCAGGGGTTTTCCTCGATGACTTCCCTGGCGATCCAGCCTGGCGATGCTCGTGCCTGAGGTAGGACCAGGCAGCGCAGCCTGCTGTCTGCCAGCCCCCTGGGGGTTCTCAGCAGCTCCAGCTCCTCAGAAATCACAGACATGCTTCATGCCTTGACTGTCCTTTCTATATTGATTTTCTTGGTGGTGGTGCTTGCACACGTTCAAGGGGTCTTGCACAGATGGCACATCCAGAGCACACCGTATTTTCTTTTCCCAGCACGGTAGACATGGGTGTTTCATGGGATATACCCATATGTTTTATTAGTCTCCAAGCACACGTGTTGCTGACATGCAGCTGGGTTCTTCAGGTGCTCAGTGGTTCTCTTTGCAATTCTTCTTGCCATTGCTCTGCAAAAGCTGCTTTGTGCAAGGCAGAGGGACGTGATCTGAAACCCACTGAGAAAGCCTCATGCCTCAGGGCTATGCTTTTTCTTTTGTTGTTTTGTTTTAACCTCTTGTGGTTTTCTTCTCCAACCACAGGCCTTTCCGCCCTGCCAAAGAAGATCTTGCATGCTTGAACAGAGAGGGGCCTTGCTGCTGCCTCCAGGTGACCACTTGCACTTGGGGTTGGGTGGCACTTCCTGAAGCTTTGCATGTACAACAGCAGCAGTTTCACCAGACTGTGAGGCTGGTGTTTTATTTGTTTATTTGCTTGGCCCTTCTTGGCTTTTTTTGTACAAAGTGTTTTCCTATTCCTCTTTTGAAAGGAAAGCCCCCTTCTCCTGGGTATGTCAGAAGCCGGGTGCTGCTGACTTGGATGCCACTGCTGTTGTTGCTGACTCGTGGATGATATATGGAAAATGGTTTAGGATCTGAGTTTATTGCACTGGTCATCAAAGCATGTAGGTGAGAGAGGAAATTTGCTGTAGGGCCTGCTGAGATGTGTGAATTTGATACTTGACATGTGGAAGTGATACCTTGAGACTGTGAAATTGTAATGCCTAGCTTAACTGGAGTAGAGTTTGGAAAGTACAGTAGAGTTTGTCTCCGAGAGTGAAAAGGTGGTAAAAATCTTCAGGGCTCATTGAAAGAGCTTTAAAGTAGATCGGAAGGGGGAGGGGATGTAACTGGGCCTGCTAGAGATAAGCCTGCGGGAAGCATGCCAGGGTTTGTAGGCTGGGGTGGTAGTGAGGACACTCCTTCTGCCATCTCAGTGGATGTAGGGGCTGGGGATCCATGGGTCGGCAGCAATGCAAGGTTTATTGATGGATTAGAAACCATGGAAACTCCTGAGAAGGGTCAGGTAGGAATGAGGGCTTCTACAAACAAAAAGGTTCAGTTGTATCCTGGGAATCTACTGCCTTGAGTTTGAAGACAGAGACTGGGAGCAGAACGATATCCCTGCAAAGCATGAAGGTTGGTGACCTTCTGCCCCACCTAGATGGACATAAGTCTGTGGGACTGGCTGGAATTCACTCAAGGGTTCTGAGAGATCTGGACAGAGGTGCTCACCAAGCCACTTCCCATCATTTATCAGCAGTCCTGCCTGAACAGGGAAGTCCCATCAGATTGGAAGTTGGCCAGTTTGGCACCCATCTCCGAGAAAGACCAGAAGGAGGGTCCAGAAATCTACAGGCTTGTGTGTTTGACTTTGGTGCTGGGGCAGCTGATGGAGCAGATCATGCTGAGCTGCATCCCGCAGTACATGGAGGTCAGCCAGATGGTCAGGCCCAGTCAGCAGGGGCTTGTGAAAGGCACTGACAGCCCTGATCTCCCTCTGCCACAAGGTCGCCTGCTTAGTGGATGAGGGAATGGCTGTGGATGTTGTTTACCTGGACTTTGGTAAAGCTGTTTGCAGCGTTTCCCACAGTGTTCCGCTGGAGAAACTGGCTGCTCCTGGCTTGGGTGGGCACACGCTTTGCTGGGTAAAAACTGTCTGGAGAGCTGAGCCCAGAGAGTTGTGACAGGAGTTAAATCGAGTTGGTGTTTGGTCAGGAGTGGTGTTGCCCAGGGCTCAGTGCTGGGGCCAGTCCTCCGTTAACATTTTTAATCTTTATCAACAACCTGGATGTAGGGATCGAGTGCACCCCTATTAAGTTTACAGAGGACACCAAGCTGGGTGGGCGTGTTGATCTGCTTCCGGGTAGGGAGAATCTGCAGAGGGATCTAGAGAAGCCTGTCCAATGGGCTAGGGCCATGTAGTAATTGCTCTTCTCAACCGAACTTCTAAATCTGCAGGAGCTTACTAACATTTGTTAGTAAGTTCAGTTTAATGGCATTTGTGTGTTAACTGAGCACCCC